AATTTTTACAGTATAACGAAATATTTTAAAAATTCCTCTTGTATTATGAGACTCTTGGCTTATGCAAAGAATATTTCTTGTATGGAATATTTCTTGTACGACCTGGTTTCAAAACCAGAAATCCTTGAACATAAAGAATGAAAAGTGACTCCTTGAGTTGTTATGCCTAAGAGTGAAAAAAAAAAAAAAAACAATCTGGCAGCTTAAGCATTCAAAGTATTCAAAGAATCAGAATCAGATATAGAAGCAGGAAGGGACCTCTGAGCAGTCCAACTCGCTTCTTTTTACAGCCAAGGAATCAGAATCCTAGAAAGGTCAAATAACTGCATATAAGATTCTTTGATTTTCTGCCTGGTGTTCTTTACACAACACTTTCACACTTCCCTATTAAAAAAAATATAGATTTACTTACACAATTCTTTATTTCATTCATAAAGAATCTGCAGTAGCAACTAACAATTTAGATTCCTTCTAGTCCGTCCATATAGAAAAACTTTCAAAATATTTCAGACATATTTCCAGATATGACAGGTCTTCAAAAAGTTCATGAAAAGATTTGTATTATCGTTCAATTCTACTTTTCACTGACTTTTTGAAGTTCCCTAATATTTCAGAGAAATAGCCTACAGGACTTGCTGATCCTTCATTTCTTCAGATCTGTGTTTCTTCAATCTGTTTTTAGTCACGGTGTTGTTTGAGACTCTCACAAAAACTATAAAACCAATAAACCACTGTGCGGAATGAGTTGGGGGCGGGGAAGGATACAAGGGTTTCAGAAATTTCAGGGTTCCCAGGGGGAGCTCCTTTGCATTAGACTGTCAAATTTACCCCAGCATTAAACCAAATTACCACATGTAATTAATCTACCAACAAATTGGTAGAGCCACAATTTGATATTTGGTGCTTTTCTTAAAATGAAGGCCAACAAGAAATGGCATATGATAAATAAATAATTCTGCCATTAGAAAACGTTCTGGGCCAGCCCAGTGGCGCACTGGAGAGTGTGCCACTTGGGAGCGCGGCGGCGCTCCCGCCGAGGGTTCGGATCCCATGTGGAGACCGGTTCCCGCTCACTGGCTGAGCGTGGTGCGGGCGCAACACCGAGGGTTGCGATCCAGTTACCGGTCAGTAAAAAAAGACAAAAAAGGAAAAAAAAAAAAAAAAGAAAACGTTCTGCAGTGATTCACGTGTAAAGATTCACAATATATTTCTGAGATAAAGCAAAAAAAAAAAGTTTTCCCATGACATTCTGTTCCTTTCATTAAATGAGAACTACATAATCCACTATATTTTCCTTTTTCTTTTGCCTTGTGTCAAATGCAATAGCTTCCCTTAGCCTAGATTTTTCTAACATCATTATTTCGCACATGACCCTTCCCATCCTTCTCTCTCTCCACTAGCATTTGGCTTTTATTCTTTTACTAATGCATCAATGGATTTATGTTTTAAAATTTTATTTTTTTGCTTTTTTCAAACATTTACTGCTTTCAAAATGAACAATTTTTAGAAAATAATGAATACAACTAATGTTTAGCAAATTTCTCTCACATTTCTCATATTTTAAGTTAACTCTACCAAGGTCAAGAGTTTGGATCCCCATACCAGCCAGCTACCAAAATAAACAAACAAACAAATAAATAAAAAAATAACTCTTCCATACTTTCTTCTTAAACTTTTTTTTATTAAGGCGTAATTTACATATAATAAACTGCTAAAATCTTATATGTTTAGTTCAATCAGCTTTGACAGTATATTCATTTTAAAAATTATAATTTGCTTTAAATTCTTTTTGGAAGCAAGAATAGAATGAATGAATAATTAGTTGACTTATTTATGAGTTGATCTGTCTGTGACAGTCTGGCAGGGAAGAACTGGAAGAGGGTAGGACTACAAATAGGGAGACAGGACAAGATATTATAACAATCATTTAGATAAGAGTGACTGGGTTTATCTAAAAAAGGTGGCAATGAAAAGAAGAAGGGGCAAGATAAAACTGATATTACTATCAAGGCCAGAAATAACAAGTATAAAAAAGAACAAAAAAAAAGAATGGTTGAGGAACCCACCTTAACATTATTTATTTATAATTGGTGTTCAATAAAGGTTTATTTTTCAACAAACAGTATTATAAGACTATTTTGAGTCAGGCATGGGTAAGTCAGATTCCCTGCCCCCTCAAAGCCACAGTTACACTAGAATTAAGTCAAGAACTCAGAAGTTACCCAAATCCTTAAACTTCTGATAGTTGATTAACAGAATACTTTCTCTTGAATTGATAAAAAATCAGTTATACAACTAAACAATGTATATACCATTACTGTAGTGACAAATAGAACAGATTTACTTTATAGGTTAGCTGATTATTTACATGGCTTCTTGATGTAATTAAATTTTGAAAAGTGATGAGTTGCATAATGCTATTCACTGTACTTCAAATCATATGTATATGTACAGTATATTTCAAATCAGCTGTACATGTACATTACTGAAATAGTCCTAAATAAAATTTGTCTTTACCACTTTAACTTCTGTGCAGCTCTGGTTTTCTTATTTCATTTCCACCCCCCCAAAAAATCCACGCAAACTGATTCCCAGGTTTAACTTCCAAAAGTGTACAAATCTCACATTAAAAAACAGTTTGTCTGAGTCTATCAAATACAAAATCAACTATTGGTTCCCTAGATTCACTGAACTCCCTTTGTAAGTAGTTACTCTATTTTCAAATCCTAAACTAAGGATTTTTCAATGTATCTAATTTCACTCTGGTTCTTTAATTAGAAATCAAATTAAATATCTCAAAAAACCCAGCATTCAATTATCTTCTTCCTGTTGAAACAGCCCCTCTGCTACTGCTCTTCCTCAGTAGAAACAACTTTCAACAAGATTCAAGTTTACTGATGTGATTCATTAATCAGAAAACATGTGAGTATCTACTAAGGGTCAAGAATTGTACTAAAATTAGAAATACAAACATACACTAATATACCAATAATAACGAAAAGCTTAATTCAACCAATAGTGATCTATCCATTTTTAAGCACCAATAACTCAAAGATGAAAAAAACTACAAATGCACAGTTAAGTGAATAACAAGTCAAGTGAATAACAACAATATGTGGAAGAATATTCCAATATAGAATTAATACATTTTAATTCTTTGAGAAAATGCCATATTCAAAATGAAAGTAAATGTAGACAAGATAAGGGCATGTAACTGCACATATTTCACTACTTAAAGATGACTAAAGAGGAGACCATTAATTTGAAAGTAGATTACTAAGATTTCATGTTTTTCTAAAATAACTAAACAGAAATTTTTTTTCCAGTGAAAATACAAGCTTCTACTTTTTACTCATATTTTTGTGTGACACTGATTATAGATGACAAAACAATAAAAATAAATTACAATTTATCAAACAACAAAAGTTGCTGAGCATGAGAGAGTAGTCCAAATTAAAAAGGTGCAAAACAACTTTTTAAAACGTATAAAACACGTTCCTGTAACAAGTTATTTTTAAATTAGCTAAGTAATTTATGAAGGGAAAATAAATTGCCCTTAAATTCATTAATTGATACCCAAAGGGAAGAGTTTCAGCCCAAACTGAACCAAATTTTAAAATAGTAACAGGAAAATACAACTGGATCCAGCTTTTTGTGAAAAACAGTAGTTTAAAAATAAGAAAAAAGTGTCTCAGAGGTTCTGCTATCCTAAGTCCATGAGGAAATAACATCTACACTCAACTACCCTCACCCTACACATACTTCCTTCTTCTCATTTTTTAAAATTTGTAAGTAGTTACAAATTTAAGTAAAAATCCTTAGGTTAGGATTTGAAAAATATAGAGTAACTTAAATTTTAAAATACTATAGAGTAACTACTTACTCATTTTAAAATATGAGTATACTTTAAATATAAATATATAGAGAAATCACTCATAGAAACTTTTAAATGAAGACAAAATCTATATTCCAATATATAGTCAATGTCATTATTAAGGGGTTAAGGGAAGATCTGGGGAGAATGAAAATAAAATTATGATCCTAAAATTTAGCCGAGTAGCAGAACTTTTATTCTCCAAAACTTATGGGGGGGGGAGGGGACCATTTAGCTTAAAAAGATGCAACTTCGTTTTGTGCTTAAATTCATGGGTAAAGTAAGATTAATACCACACCAAAAATAAGCATTCTTCAATTTATTTTTTGGTAAAAGGGATAGTTTAAAAATTGAAATTTCTTTAATATATTAATTCACTTTCCTAGGAAAGAGGAAATAATGTTAGAAAATTGTTTATGAAAAACTAAAGCGACTCAGGATTAGAGCTATTCACAATCATACTAATTAAATTAAATCCTGAGGAGTAATTAAGAAAAACAGAAGCTGAGAGTGGCAGAATTACCATTGGTCTAGCAGTCAAATCCCTTTTACACCCACAGGTTAAAGATCTCTCTTTTACAGTCACTAAAAAGCTCTTTAAATGCTATATTAAGATATCATTAACAATTTCAATTTATAATTATGCACCCATATATATTTTATTTCTTAAAAAAAGTCATATCCCAAACACAAAAGAAATCAAATAAGAGAAAAATAGGCTTAATACTGATTGCTTTTGTTCTTAATTATTACCAAGAAAGCAAAACAAAACAGAAACAACTCTGAAAGGTTGCCAGCATGCCATAAGACATTTCTGCATAAAAAAGAGTTAATAGGCAGACGGCTCAGCAAAACAGCCAGTCACCATTTGCAAGCCTCCTAGGTATCTTCCCAGCAGACACATTATCAGATTAAAGGAACTGCAAACAAACTGGGCTGAAACCTTTCTTTGTCCAAACCCAGCCTCTTCTTCCTGTGATGTCATATTACAAATCTAGCAAGGCTTTCTTTTTCACTTCAGGGAAAGCCTATCTCACAATACAACTGGCAACTGAGAGGCCTCAATTCAGCAAGAGCTAACAAGCTTAGGAATTTATTTCGGAAACTTGAAAAGACTCTTCTGCTTACCACCATCTGGAATCCACTACAGAAATACCAAAAAGGAAAATTTCATTTAAAAGAAGCAAGAAGTAAAAGAGGACAAACTGGGAATGTGTAAGTGTCTGATACTCTGCACTGAGAAGCAAAATAAGATTGATAACTTAAGCTTGAACATTCTGGAGACTAAAGAAACTTTACTTTTGGAATATTCATCTTGACTATTGAAATACAAGTTTATGAGTAATTTTATTCCCATCTCGGAACACAACTTTTCTTTAAATTTATAATCCGATGGGTTGGCTTCAATGACTACATATTTTAAAGACTTTATCAGTTAACTAAGCCCTGGATTGATGGATTTTCCGGAGACTACAAAATGAGAATATTTTCCTGTTGAAGAACCAAGTGGAAACTTTACAGCAATTTCATGTTTCTTTTGGAGATTTCTGAGAAAAAGGAAATATTTATAAAACCGCCCAGAGATCCAAATAATTTGCAAATAAATTGGAGATTATAGTGGTCACAATCTGAATACTAAAGAAGACGCAGTCAACAAAGACTTCCACACTGTTAAGTGGGACGTGCCTTTATGATGGTAAGCATTAACAGCTCCCACTGCTCCTATGATGACTCCTTTAAGTACACTTTATATGGGTGCATGTTCAGCATGGTGTTTGTGCTTGGGTTAATAGCCAATTGTGTTGCCATATACATTTTCATCTGCACCCTCAAAGTGCGAAATGAAACTACAACGTACATGATTAACTTGGCAATGTCAGACTTGCTTTTCGTTTTTACTTTACCCTTCAGGATTTTTTACTTTGCAACACGGAATTGGCCATTTGGAGATTTACTCTGTAAGATTTCTGTGATGCTGTTTTATACCAACATGTATGGGAGCATTCTGTTCTTAACCTGTATTAGTGTAGATCGGTTTCTGGCAATCGTTTACCCATTTAAGTCAAAGACTCTAAGAACCAAACGAAATGCAAAGATTGTTTGCATTGCCGTGTGGTTAACAGTGATCGGAGGAAGTGCACCAGCAGTTTTTTTTCCATCTACCCACTCTCAGGGTAACAGTACAGAAGCCTGCTTTGAAAATTTTCCAGAAGCCACATGGAAAACTTATCTCTCAAGGATCGTAATTTTCATCGAAATAGTGGGATTTTTTATTCCTCTAATTTTAAATGTAACTTGTTCTAGTATGGTGCTAAGAACTTTAAATAAACCTGTTACATTAAGTAGAAGCAAAATAAACAAAACTAAGGTTTTAAAAATGATTTTTGTACATTTGGTCATATTCTGTTTCTGTTTTGTTCCTTACAATATCAATCTTATTTTATATTCTCTTATGAGAACACAAACATTTGTTAATTGCTCAGTAGTAACAGCAGTGAGGACAATGTACCCAATCACTCTCTGCATTGCTGTGTTAAACTGTTGTTTTGACCCTATAGTTTACTACTTTACTTCGGACACAATTCAGAATTCGATAAAAATAAAAAACTGGTCTGTTAGGAGAAGTGACTCCAGGTTCTCTGAAGTTCAAGGAACAGAGAATTTTATTCAACACAACCTACAGACCTTAAAAAATAAGATATTTGACAATGAATCTACAATATAAGTTCCTTGAAATAAAACCACTGGAACTTCACTGGGACAGAACCTCCAAGTTCCTTCAACTGTGAAAAGTGTTTCTTGGACAAACTATTTCTCCACCTCTGAAAGAAAATTAACAAGTGGACATTATAAAGATTTTAGTACAAAGAAAATTTGTATTCAATGTGTTAAACATTAAAATATATATTCTATTCTTGTATACACTCCATTTTACTTTTCTGAACCATTTTGATTTGTTCCTTCATTAAAAAATGTCTGAAAAAGTTATTCAATGTCTAAAGGTGACTATGATTTAAATCATATAGCAACCGTCTGTACTGTTTTTGAATTCTTTTTTATACTAACTGATTTACTCAAGGTTTTATTTAAGTATTTAATATTTTTATTCAACATATATCTCATTTTTATTTTATTTTGAATTAAAACTACTAATCACGTTTCTTAAACAATAATAATAAATGAAAAAGGAGAATAATTTGAAATAATCGAATGTTTTTGGAGTATTTTCCCAAAAAAGTAGTTTAAAAATGTAGTCTTCTGTGGAATGATGACATATACTATCTGAAGACCTGGAGCAGTAACGCTTATAGATAATATTTAGGAATTTTGTCTTTGTTGGCAATTTGTAAAAAGCAAGTGCTATCTAACTATATAGTATATTTTGAAATTATCATTTTGATTCATTTTCTGGATATAACAGCACCCAATTTCAAAATGATATATGCCACAAAAATTGAGACAGACAGAAGTAATGAAATGTTATTTTGCTAAGCAAATTTTTAAAAAATGAAATACTACCAGAGGGTACATCTGAAAGGTACATTTATATCACAATAAAGAACTTGGATTTTAAGCACCAGAGATAGTGATATAGTACTTAGCACTTAGAAAGTGACACACACATAGACACATTTTTTTTTTACTTCCCTTACCTCTTCTGACCATTTTAAGCCAAACACTGAAGTTAAAAATGTTATTTCAAGTAGGCAAAATATTACTGTATTTGTGCCAAAGTAATTTATTAAGTAAGGACACACAGTTCCTTACATTAAAAAGCAGCAAAACTATAAGGTCAAATACCTAAACACAACTACATTTTCATTTCACTAATCATAAAAAAACATACGGCTTTGAGCTATAATTTAGAAAAGTACCAATTACACTAAACTTTTTCATTTTCCAACATATTCTTTTTTCACCCCAAATTCAAGCAGTTCTCCAAAGTTAACTAAAACAGATGCTTTTTATTTGAGAAAAAGAACATGTAATTAAATTCAGTGTTCAACCTATTTGATTTTTACCATCTTAATCTTTCAAGTCCCAAAAACAATTTTGACACACACTTTCAAGATTTAAATTTGATTTTTACTGTTCTCTCGGTTTTGGCCGCAATGATTTCAGACAAATCATAAGTATCTGTTAAACAGGTAAACCCATTTTCAATAAAATAAAAGGGGGGGGGGTGGTTCTTTAAGGACCCATGGTTTCCTTTAGGTAAACTTAAAGCAAAATGAATCCCTAAAAAAAAAAAAAACTAGTGAAGAAATTAAGAATGGTCCTTTACATCTCGAGAGACGTATATATACACCATAAATGATGTTTTCTTCCATTGACCTGAAGTTCCTTTATTTGATATCACAGTTCAGAAAACCAAAATACATTTAGCACTCAAACACATATTTTTGAGCTGAAAAGCAACTAACAACCTACTGATCTGGAGGAAAGGGGCAGGGAATTCCATAACTTTGAGATTTCTCTGAACTTCCCTCAGCTTAAAAATCTGGAGTAAAATTTAAAGGCAAGATCACAAAGCATGAATATTACTTTAAAATACAAGCAAGATAGTTATCGGACAGTTGTTATTACTGTGTTCACAAGATAAATTTTTTGTTGCCCTCTTGTCAACAGGATGTTATATGAATCAAAATTTTTCTAAGAATCTCCATAAAGAAATACTTAACAGATAACAAGTATTAGTTGTCTCATCTAGAATTTCAAATACTGACTAAATCTTACCTAAATGAAAATATAGTAAATCTTACCTATACAGAAAGAATACCAAAACAAAATTAAAGTTATTTTCCTTTGTTAGTGTTGTACTTTAAGGTAAATTATATATCCTGAAGGTTTTCTCTTTCTCTTTTACTCAGAAAACCCACATTAATATTAGAACTCTAAGGATTTTACTTTTTATTACCTTAAAATAATAGTATCAAGACCTCCCCGCCCCCCCCCAAAATGTTGTGTTTAACATCTTCATACAAGAGTCTAATCTTCCTTCCCATATTATTTTTCAGGTATGGAAGACAGCTTTTCAGCATCCTAATGACTGGTTCTGAACTTAGAAATTATATTTCTTGAGAAAATACCAAAAAAAGTTTAAAGATGTATAATACTGTACAAAATATATCCACAGAAAATGAAAGAAACTGAAGTCACTACTTTATCAAGGAGTTATCAGCAAACCTTAATATTCCACATTCAAAATACTGAAAGTATTTTGAATTATAAATCCCAATTATATACAGTGGTATTTAGAGAAATTAGCCACTCAATTGAGGAATAACTGAGAAATATTTGATTTATAAATGGTACATAGCTATTAGGAGTCTGGAGCAATTGCTTTTTGGTCCTGCAATTTTGGACCTGATGAGACAGGTACTTTGTCTTTTGTCTATATATTAAGTTACTATTGTCTAGAGGAATCTTTACTACCACCCAACACCCAGACTTTCTTAGTGCCTGCATGCCAATACAACTCAGGATGTCACAAATAAGGGAAGATGTGACCTGGTGTTTGCAGTTGTGAATGAATTTTTCTAGAGAAACAGTGCTTACGCATGGATAAAATCTTAAACTGGTAAGCTGCTCTGAAAAATCTCTTTTGTACTGGCCTGGAAACTGAATTACCCTTTTATAACATGACTTCTAAAAAATAAATGCCAAATAAAAAGGACTAATGAACAAACTTAAGGACATAGAACACATTTAAATCAATGGGAGTATTTAATGATCAACAATATTACTTAATTAGCAATTTTCCAGAGATCAACATGTATATATTCCTAAAATCTCTAATTCTCAAATTTGTTTTTCATCTCTTTTTACCTAATGTCTGGCTGTCAGTTTTACAAAAGTATGAAGAAAATTAATTAAACAAGGAAACAAATATGAAATTAACTGTAGGAAAACTTCTCTACCTAGTCTTTCCCCCTCTCTCCTCCTCTCAAAAAGACTTACTCGAATAACCTCTTAAAAGGGTACAAAATTGTCTCTCCCATATGAAAAGCAGTGGTAAAATCAATAGAAAAGATAGGACCTCAGAAGTAGGGATAATTCAAGAATTTAATAATCAGTTTTAAAAGTCAAAATTTGCTTTACTCATATAGATTCAACCAATCAAGTGATTTCTGAAATGAATTTAAATGTTACGAGTGAGAAACAAATATGTTTTGCATACAGCCGAGTTACAGTTAATAGCCATAGGATGAATATGCTGTGTTCCATTATCTTCCTACCAAAATTGCTTCTGGAAAATTCACAATGTAGAACTGAAAGGGCCTGGCAGTCAATTGATAAAATTACACCCTGGGTTGAGGAAATGGAGGAACCAAAAGGGTAAGTACCTTGCAAAAAGTCACATAACAAGGTAGAGCCAGAGTAAAAACCCAGATTTTTTTGAATTGTCCAGTTCTTTAATGGTGGCAAGTGGAGGAGAATATGTAAAGGCCCTGTGCTAGAGAAGTTGGTATACTGAAAGAGTTAAAACAAAGTCAAAGTGGCTGGAGATACAGGGCTGAGATCCTGCATGTACCTATAGACCATGTTAAGAGCTGAGGATATGTGGAAAGTTATGAAGGATTTCAAGTAAGAGAGACATGATCAGATTTGCATTTCAAAAAGACCCCTCGAATACTGGGTAGAGATGCCTTGGTCTTTGGCAAAAAGAGAGAGATAATTATAATGACATTATATTTATACAATTTAAAGGACTGTTCTTATGCTTTACTCTGCTATGTCCTTTCTCCCTTATGAAAATGGGAGAAATCTTTTTTGAAATGATATTGACCACAGATGGGAAGAATATTTTAATGTCGTTAACTTGGTAAAATTAAGTTAGCAGGCCTTGTAGAAAAATTGGTACCTTCATACATTGCTGATGGAAATGCAAAATGATACAACCCTTATGGATAGGAATTTAGCAATATCAAACACACCCATTTACCCTTTGACCTAACATTCTCACTTCTAGGTATTTATTCTGAAGATACAACTTCAGTAATATAAAAATACGTATGCACAAGATTTTTCTTCACTTCTTGGTATTTACCCTGAAGACATGATTGCAATAACATAATACACACAAGGTTATTTATTGTTGAATTACTTGAAATTGCAAAATACTGGAAACTAACTATATATTCAAGCATAGATAGCCTAAATAAACTATAGTATGTACACACAATGTACTATTATGCAGCTGTAATAATGAGAAAGATCTCTATGAACTGATAATGAAATGATTTCCAGAAAGTGTTGTTAAATGAAAAAAGCAAAAATGTTAAAGAGCACAAATAGTACAAGTGTACTTCAAAAAGTTCATGGAAAAATAGAATTAAAAGGTTTAAGTATGAATCTTCCCATGAACTTTCTGAAGTTCCCTTATATGCTACCTTTTATATTAGAAAAAGGCAAGACAATAAAACATACATATACCTGCTTATTTTTACAAAAACAAACGCAGGAAGGATAAATCAAAAAACAAGGGATGGGGTGGGGAATGGAGTAAAGGGGTATTAAAGAGTATGACAGTTCTTTGATGACACCTTTTTGTACAGTTTTGATTTTGAAAAGCTTGTTGATGTACATCAGGAATCAGCAAACTTTTTCCTCAAGGGTCTGACTGTAAATATTCTAGGCCTTTGGGCTACAGACTATTATAATGTCTCATCTCTGCATTACAGTGCAAAATAAATGATTAAGGTGGCTGTGTTCCAATACAACTTTATTTACAAAAACAGGTGGTCAGTCGAAAGACTGTATGTGCCACTTCCTGTTCTACATAGTAAAAAAAAATACTAAAACCAACAAAGATGGGAAAG